TGATTAGAGGTGTATGGTCAGAGAGTTTGGGCCTGTGTCTTGTTGTTTCTCTGTGTGTGTGTGTGTGTGTGTGTGTGTGTGTGCATGTGGTGTGTGTGTGTTTTTCCGTCTGTCTTGGTTGTGTTAAAAGTGTGAGTGTGGTTGGAGCCAAATAAGTGTGTGTTTTGATTAGAGGTGTGTGGTCAGAGAGTTTGGGCCTGTGTCTTGTTGTTTATGTGTGTGTGTCTGTGTGTGTGTGTGTCTGTGGATGCGTGTGGTGTGTGTCTTTCTGTCTGTCTTCCTTGTGTTGAAAGAGTGAGAGCAGTTGTAGCCAAATAAGTGTGTGTCTTGTTTAGAGGTGTATGGTCATAAAGAGTTTGGGCCTGTGTCTTGTTGTTTCTGTGTGTGTGTGCATGTGGTGTGTGTGTGTTTTTCCGTCTGTCTTGGTTGTGGTAAAAGTGTGAGTGTGGTTGGAGCCAAATAAGTGTGTGTTTTGATTAGAGATGTGTGGTCAGGGAGAGTTTGGGCCTGTGTCATGTTGTGTGTGTGTGTGTGTCTGTGTGTGTGTCTATTTTTGGTTGTGTTGGATAACTGAGATTGGTTGGAGCCAAATACAGTAATGCTTTTGTTACTAATTTCTTAGTTTATATATGTTTGAAATAAAAAACTAATTACTTACTTACTCATTTACATAATCACTGACTCACAACATACTGTACAAATGTGTGTAAAAGTTAAATAAGGTCCACACACGGTTGCGTCTGCTTACACACTGTCTATTAACAAACCAATATTCCACTATGACATCCGCTCACATCCAATCTCATTGCAGTCTCGTCTTTGTGGTGTCACGATTAAAACTGTCCCCATCAAAAGAGCCAGCGGGCCAAAATTAGCTGTCATGATAAGGCTCTGGGCAGGAACACATTGGATTTGCATTGAATAGACATAAAACATACCAAATGTGAGGAGACAGCAAATCCATACAGTGAAAAGTGAGCTAAGAATCCCCTCCTCTACTTATATTAATTAAGTTGGTCAATGGGGATGTGATAGGTCAGTTTTTTATCCTCTTGCTGCGCCGGGCCACTCTGTCACCCGTACCTCCCAGGTGTCAGAGCAGAGCAGCGGTGCACGATCAGTGGTTGGAGGTTAGTGGCGTGTTTCATATTTGTTTTTGCCCTTTTGGTGTTTGCGCGGTGACACAGACAAATGTCGCCATAGAGAGGAGAAGGATAGCGGAGAGGGAGGAGAGTGCAAGTATAGGACAAACAAAAACAATGTATGTGTGTTTTCTGTACAGAGTAAAAAAGCAGACAGAGAGAGAACTTGTTTAACGTCATTTTAAAAGTAGTCATTTTTGTCTATATCGCGCTTTTCACAGACCAGAGCCACAAAGCGCTTTACAATTGTTGGCATCTGTCTCTCACTCCACACAGAGATGGAAGCTATAGACCTATTGTACATGATTTTAGTGGTAGGGGAAACCGGAGCACCCAGAGGAAACCTACACCGATTCAGGGAGAACATGCAAACTCCACTCAGAAAGGCCCTGTTCCGAACGGGATTTGAACCCTGGACCTTCTTGCTGAGAAGCGCTATAAACTCAGCCACTGTGCCGCCACATTATTTTGTAATATCACAAAATAATCTAGATTGTTTGGGATAGTTAAAGCTGGGGTACCTAATTTTTAAACCGCAAAAAAATTAAATATGTATTAAAATCCATTGGTATCACTATATTTCAGGTGCACGCTTTTTTTCGCCCCATGTCACCTTTTTTTTAGACAGAACAAGGGAAGAGGAGGACCACCCTCACTCAGCCCAAAGCTTCCAATATTGACTCACGTAGCTATTTCTTACATTCACAAGAATCTTTTCCTTGGGGCAAACAAAAGGTAGTATTTCTGAAGTTAGGTACCTAGCTTTAATTAGCTGGTATAGTTGTGAGTGGTATAGGGCGACAGTGGCTCAGTTGGTAGAGTATCGGCCTTTGGGCCTGAAGGTCGTGGGTTCGAGCTCACCATAAGACCTACTTACCATCCCACTGATGACTGCTGTCGTGTCCTTGGGCAAGACACTTAACCCCACTTTGCCTGAAGCCCCCGCTGAAAGATCTCAGCTCCTGTGGACTCACCACCTGCAGGAGGATCAGTGAGGGGCTGGTGCTCTGTGTACTGGGGGCGCAGCTCTGACTGCCACCCCCTGACCCAGAAATGGATTAAGGGGAAGAAAATGGATGGATGGAGTTGTGAGTGTAAGCATGTTTTAAAGCAACAGCCTCACATATTTATTCTATTTTTCATTTGTTTGATATTTTTCTGCAGTGTAGCGCTGACTTTTGGACTAAATAGAAAAGGATGAAACAAACTCCCTAATAATACGGTTATAATTATTTTTATACTATTATTTTCACACGGGCTCAAATGTCTTCCATGTTTCTATCATGAGTTTAAACAGGTGTAAATCCTATTGGCTTATGGATACATGTTTACGGTAAGGGTATATCCTTTCTCATTGAGTCATTGTTGGATCACAAAAGGTTGTGATAATGTGACATCACAACATTCCAAAAACCTGTGGTAGAGGGCAGATGAAAATATTGTGACGGTCAAAAGTCAGACTTCATGTTTTTGTTTATGGCTAATTCCTCTGTAATTCCTGGGACATTTACATTAAACAAACATGTCTTCTTGTTCAATATCAAATTTGGTCAATTTTTTTCTCATAAAGGTTTAGATAACATGCATGACGTTAGCCAATAGCAAGAACTTTCATACATTTGAATAATTTGGAACATTTGTGAATCTAAGAATTAGGCAAGGCAAAAAAAAATTGTATAGCTCAATTTCATACACAAGGCATCTCAAAGCACTGAACAAAATAAGAAAGCATTAAAATCATAAATAATCACAGTACATTAAAAAGAAAGATAAAAATATAAAGTCCCTCAGTCGTATGCACAGCTAAACAGAACAGTTTTTCACCTGGATTTAAACATTGTCAGAGATGTCATATAATAATCTGAGAAAACATTTGAACAGTTTACATTTAAAGAAAAAATGCCGTCCTTCCCATGGAGCTGTAATGGGACCTGAAGTCCACAACATGAACACAGTGATGTTCTTTAAAGCAGGACTAGGTCTGCTGCTTGTCTCCATGAGGTGTCATATCTTAATCATTGTCCAGATGTGAAAGCTTCGATGATATTACGCTGAAACTGTCTGTCTTTAGAGAAAAGCAGTTGACACCGTAAAGCCAAGATGCAGGTCAGATCAAAGAGACGCATGAACGTTCAAGACAAAAACATGATGGAGACCAGTTGGGAGTGGACCATCTGCAGAAAGTTGCACAGTGCTCATTCTTTTTGGGGTGTGGGGCGGTGCTGTATATGTTGTTAAAAATGATTAGCATCTTGGGCTTATCAGGCTAACACATGCCACTCATTGTAGCTTATTGTGCCCCATATACTGTACATCACATTTTCCAATCACTTTAATTACTTTCATAATGACATAAGTGCTGTCATTATTCTTTAGTCTGACGATTATTTACGGTCCTGCTGCACCACACACCACGCGTCCAGACAGCGACATGCTCTGGCAGCACACGCACACAGTGGTCACATCGATACAACATGACCCCCATGGGAGCCCGGGTATTGGCAAAGCTTTCATCTGCTGTGTGTGAGAGAGTTTGATATCCCCACAGCCGAACCTATAAGATGTGGGGGAGAGCAACCTCTTCTCCGCCCGGAACCCCAAACCAGGACAGGGGGTATGGGGCCCTGGCCCCTGCTGCAGATGTTCTGTCCGCTGTAACGAGCTGTGATTTAAGGCTCACGTCAGCTGCAGACACTAGAGGGCGATAACGAGGCGCTGGCTGCCTGTGGCGGTGATGAATGTGCGTGGCTGTGCCTTTGACCGTGGCCACGGTTTATCGCTGTTGCATATTTAGAAGCTCGTACTTAGATTTGATCTAATGTGTAAACAAGGACACTTTGAGGGGTTTAATTATTCACACATCTGTTTTCATCAGGCTGTAGCTATCGCTTTAAAGATATTTGCTAGAATTTGTTTGGAGTTTGCAATAAGCATGATGATGTGGTTATTATCATTATTAGTAATGTTGTTGTTGGCGTATTAAGAAAAGTCCATTTAAATGAGCTGCAAAATCAATGTGTATGTCTTGAATGTTGAAATTTCTGTCATCAGGTTCTGTTCAAGTTAAAGCTACTGTCATTTCAGAATGTAAATCTCCATGGATTCTGATAATTAGATTTCTGAGTGTCCTGTGAATGACACTAAATTGTTCCAGTTTGCCTCTAAATATGAACATTTATTGGGCACAGTTGCGTCACACTTCTTGTTCGTGCACTTCTCTCTTAGTGTTTTTGTCATGAAGTGGCTTTGTTTTCTAAAGTGAGTTCCAGAGGTTTACCTAATTGATTATTAACTCGCTGATTGGAAATCAATTAAATAATTAAAGTTTGTTAAGAGCTAAGTCGATTTCCTGGCACGAAACGCATGCAGACCGGCTCTCGCCTTGACCAAGTATCTTAGACATAATGTTCTGTAAACCTGGACTTCATCTGGATTTAAAAGACCGTCCTTTATCCATCCATGGGAATCATCACCTCCCAAAGATCTCTTCTGTAAATAAGAGTGGGTTAAACCAAGAGAAACCTGTTAAGGAGACACTGACTGCATGTTTCACATTTCTGTATTCAATCAATCTGGTTGCATTCGCGCATTTAAGCAGTGTACAACTCAATATTGAAAACAATTACTTTTCTTGGAGGGAAGTGTGTGAGAGTCTGTCCCTTGAAAACTCGCGAGCACCTCGTAAGACACACAGGAGCGGAAACGGGTCGAATCCTACTTCAAATTCTCTTTCCTCTTGGCTTGTCGACCGGGGAAAACAAACCGACCCGAGGCACAGCGAATGGGGATTTACTAATTATCTACACACACATCACAGTGAAGCCGAGAGAGAGAGACAAAAGAGAGAGCGGCAGAGGGATGCGCTCTTCCTCCTCCTCGCTCTCACTCCCTCCCCCTGGTCCGTGCGCACGGCTGCAGCTCCAGGAGAAGCGCTCCTCTCGCTGCTCAGTGCGTGTGGATAGACCCGTCACCGCGCCTCAACTACTTTCAAATCAACAGCCAATATTCAGGTATGACCCACACAATCTCTGAAAATATACTTTAAAGAAACGGCCGAATGCTGTCTACGTGTTTTTAAACCACATTGTGTGTTTTGGATAACTGAAAAGTTATGTGTAATGGCTAAAAATATGATTATGCCTGCTCTGTGGTTGATGTTGCCTTCTCTCGTAAATACAGATGTCGTTTACATGTATGAATCCACACACAAATGTATTTCAGTGTTTGAGTGGATAGTTTTGTAGAGTTGTGTGTTTTTGGCACATGGGTAAAAGTAAATAGGTTTTGGAACAGCGTGGCACAGTGGGAATTCTTCTTTGGCGCGCTGAGCCGTCGGTGCTGGCCCGGATTAGCCTTTCAATGTCTCTATTTGTAAGGCGTCCGGCTCTCACCTCCACACGGCCGTATCAATCAGTCAATTAAACAGGCGGTCACACGCGGCGCGCCCCCGCGCACACTGTGCATTTCCTCTAGTGAAGCAGGCCTTCATCTGTCCTCTTCATCACATCTTCTGCTCTGTTTTAGCCTCTACTTTCCCCGCGTGGCACTGGGGCATGTTTTTCGCTGCGTGTATTTGAACATTTTGATTTGACACAAATAATTCTCTGGTGGATTTCTCATGCAGTCGATGCTCTGCAGCTGCTGAAGTTTGGAGCCGCGGATTCGCGCTCTCTTCTGGGAGTTGACTCCTTTTGAGAAGTGCACGCGTCGATACTGAAGCAGAGAAATATTTGGAATAATCTTTATTTGGATCTCTGCTCTGGCCACATTTTATTTTTTTTATTTTATTTGAGGTGTTTACCCCTTTACAACATGTGATGCATATTTATGCGCGCCGTGGGTGCACTCAATTATTTGCGCAAGTATTTCCAGATAAACAGTGTTTGGAAATCAATACGCGCATGTAACTTTTCCAGATTAAGAGATCGATCAGTGGATCCAGCGTCCGCGGTGTGTGCTGTGTCAACTTTCACCTTCAGTTCTTCACAACTTTGGCACGCGTCTCCTTGGCCTCCGCGCGTCACACTCAGCCGATACTCAGAGCTGAAACTATAAGGATGACAGGCTGCTTATAATAATAATAATAATAATAATAATAATAATAATAATAATAATAATAATAATAATAGCAGTAGATTTTGGGCTATGCCAGAAAAGTAACATTTGGTTTATTATTCAGGTTTTTCTTGAATCTTCCAGAATTCCAGATTGCCCTCGTTTTTTTGGAAAATCGTCACTTTTTAATTTGTGGAATCTTTACGTTCCTCGTGGCTCTTTCGTTCAGTGGCTCCTCTGAATTCGTTCATTAAAACAACTGACTTTGAAAAGTTTACATGCTACATCCTGAAGAAATTAAACCACGATGTTTGAATTTTTGCTATCATATCAAGTTGTATTATTGTTGTTATAATAATAATAATTATTATTATTATTGTCATCATTATGATCATGATCAAAATTAGGCCTAATATTACCATTCATGTTTTTATGTTTTTGTTTCTATAATAATATGAATAATTATAAATATAATAATTATTATTATTATTATCATTATTAATACTATACTACTACTTATAATAAACATGACCTTAACCACAATACAAAAATAAATAATAGGCCCACGAGGCCTACTACAATAACAATGATTGCAATAATGCAATAACAAAAACAACATATTAGACTAATTCCTTTAATTAATATATATTCATTTTACGATTTAATTTGAATGTGACAATTCAGTGTCCTATTTCAAAGGATTTTTTTTTTTATATAATGGACACTTAGGCAAATGTTACCTTTCCAATATGGTGCTTCAAAATAATCCTCATGGCTAAAACAAATCATGGAACGTTATGGTAAATCAAGATAGTATATCGTCTTGTTCTTTTTTATAAATTTTCAACCGAATATGTTAAACTTAATTCTGAATATCTTCTGCAAATTTGGCATGTTGCGCATTTGATCGTAGTGGTCATAACGTGTATTATTTTTACATTCTCTCTGCATAAATGACTCGATCCGCTCGTTATTGCTGTTGAACTACGTGCCTCTCTCCTCTTCCCTTTTCTGTCTCACTCGGAACACAAACTTCTGACAGGTGTTTGATTTTTCCCCTTCATTTTGCCTTTTCAAAAAAAGCTCTCATCCTTAATGTGTTGTCATCTGGAAAGCAATTTCGCATGATCAAAGTGCAGCTAGTTAGTGCGCTCAATATCCTCTGCAGCGCGCTTCTCACGCATCGATAACGAGACACGAGAGGCTCCCGCGCGTCGAGCTGCGTCCCGGGCCTCCCTCTCTCCCCCTTTCTGTCTCTCTCTGTCTCTCTCTGTCTCTCTCTCTGGCTCCACAAACACCTCCAGCTCCAGAACAGTCGTATCCTCCAGTGTGCCTCCCCATGCGCACATGGGGGACTATGTAAAGTAGCCTATAGCGTGCGTCTTGATGCTTGCAATATCAGACTCTGAAGGGTAAATAAGATGATTGATCTGTGGTCTGGGGCACCAGGAGTCTCGAGGGAACACGGACACAGAATTGACTCCCGGTCTTCTGTCTTTATTTTTTCTCTTACTTTTGTTAACTGTCCATTTTCCTCTGTTCGTGTTGAAGTGCTTTTGATCACTTTATTTTTCTCCCTCGAACAGCGGCAAGTTTGTGATCGCGTCCTCCTCGGCTCTTCCGGGTGGTGACAGACGCACAGACGCACAGGGCACAGCAGTCCAGTCCGGTCCAGACAGAAGTGTGGGCTTCGGCCTCAGGAGCATCTCTGAGGCGGGGCGACACGGAGGTGCAGGTGGGTCCAATGCATGTCACGGAGATTCTCATGCAAACATTCCAAAGTTAAGCTAATTTGTGATATTTGGTTTGAGCCAATTATCACACATTGTGTCTGCAGTTGCCCTGAAAAACACACACATTTCACGTATTATTTGCCCGGTAGTTTGTATTGTATTTTTTCTCAATTGCTGACATTGGGGTCTATATCTTTTTTATCAGTCTGAATTTGTTATGAACTTTTTGTCCATTCAAATCAATTTGCCTGATTTCCCAAAGCTCATTTAGGGTCTGTTAAGGTTATATGCATTCTTCTGTGTTATATACAGTTCATTTTCAAAGCCTTTTGCTTTGTAAAAAGGTGTTTGTGGGACAGACGTATCTGTGAATAATCAAAGGTGTTCAATGCACCATGAATTGCCTTTGGCAACAACCGATCACAAGCTACAATTTTCCTCTGGCAAGTCAACGTCGAAACACTTCCTCCGGCTCCTTCTACTTTCCCTAATTCTTCCTGTCCAATATTCGCCCCATGGCTGAAATTTGCCTTACATTATTTATTATTCAGTGAAGCACTTGGACCTGTATCCCTCTGCTCAGGGCAAGTGAAGGACTCAGCCTTATCTTATCATCTTCTTTATCATGAGCTGTGCCCCTCCTCTTCTGTGGCCCTCGGTCCCCTTTGCTGCCACACCTGGTAACTACAAACTTGTACACAATAATAACAGCCACATGTCTCCATCTATCTCTCCATCTTGCCTGTCGGCAGTTAGCGGAGTAGCTGAGAGACTTGCAGGCGTGAAAGGTCAGTTAATCAATGGCTCGCAATTTGACAAATCCCTGCGTCTCTTATCATCCTCACGGGCGTTTAGGGCCCCAAAAGAAGGACCACAGAGATAAATGCTTAATCCTGACCGCAGCGCAAGAGGGGACAGACGTGCAGCTAGAGTCCTGAGCAGTGTGGGGCAGACAGGCGGGGAGGAGGGCAACAGCACTGAAAGAAAGTAGAGAAGTGGAAGTGGCTGGAAACAAACCTGGAAGGTGAACAATCTACTCATATTTGGAAATGACAGTTTCTCCTTTTGCTGTCATAGTAAACCAGGAAAACTAAGGGGGACTTGGTGTGCTTCGAGATCATCGACTTCGCCTTGAGGTTGACAGGTTGCGTACTTAGCTGCTGGGCTGACATCGAAATCCTGCTCTGTTACAGGCTCGGGTGCTGCGTGTAAAGTTGAGAAAAATCTGAACAAAACAAAGGTGTATGAGTGCTTCAATTCTCCTGTGGCATGTTAGGCGCCCGCAGCAGTGTGCAACCAACAGGAAAATGAGCTTTTGTCCACAAGGCTGGCCTGCTTTTTTCGCATCACCATTTTTCGAACTATGGGGGTTTGGGAGGCGGCAAGTTGTATTTTTTTGTTCATCACTTGAACTAGAACCACATGCTCCTCAATGGAATATCTCTTATAGGCTAATGATTTGAGTGGCACTGCAGTCACTCCAGGTCTGAAATAACAAGAGAAAGCGGCTTGAGCTATGGGCTGCACACTTGTCCTTTATCTCAATCTCAATACAAGCTCAATGTAATTCAATTGAGATTAGCCGCGCCGGAATGACAAGCAGTTCCCAAGTATTGCCAAAGCACTTAGTAGGCAATGGAAGGAGCGTGTCAATGTACAGCAACTCATGCAAGAGCTCGACGGCTGTGGAAAGAGAGGTGGAGGAATCGAGTAAGCAAAATCATAAACATATTCTGTACAACCGGCGTCATAAGTGAAGGAGACGGGCGGTGTGCAAAAAGTCCAAAGAGGTTCAACGAGGCAGATGGAGAAGAGTTACTAGAAGAAAGATTAAGTCGAGGTGTCCCTGGTCAGTCATTAATCTGATTTAAGAGCAATTAAGGTAGAGACTGATTCCTTCCGAGGGAGAAAAAAAGATTGAAAGGGCAAAAAAGAGTAGAGGAAAAACTGAGAGAGTGATTGAATGACAGAGGAAATACAAGATGTTAGAAGCCTGGATGTTTGTTGGTAGTGGACGATTTAGGAACAAGACACGTTTGTAGTCCGAACAGACAGTTTAAATAAGGCCATTACCGTTGTGGTTCTCGGAGTAAACCTCGAGTGCATAGTGAGAAAGTGACAGTAAATCCTTTCTTTCTATTGGATTGAATAGAGCACATAGACTATTACTAGATTATTTAATGATAGGGATGATAGACATAATATATTTGAATAGTTACAAAACAAAAAACATATTTGTAAAGCTTACAATTTGCTTTTTACCAAGTTCTTTTTGGCAAATTCAGTTTATTTTACAATCAAACACGTAAAGTTTCATTCCTTCTTGAGCAAATTCTTTCAAATTTACTGCCAATAACTAACTGTGTTGAAGATTGAAGCCAGCGGAATACCACTTTTTGACAAAATGTCAAGACTTTTGCAAATGATCTCTTGATTTTATCAGGCTAATGAGCTAGATTTGTCAACACAGTAGGCCTTTTGTGACATAAAATAGCATATATAATAACAAATAATAAGCAGAACGTACACTCGGAGACCGCATACCCCGCCAACTTAACAAAATAATTCTAACGGGAAGTTTCTGCCATCACATCCATCTACACACCCATTTTTAACTCAATCCATCTAGAAGTTTTGACAAAATCCTGCCCATACACACACACACACACACACACACACACAGATGCACGATGCACTACACCCTCTCTAGTCTGCATAATAATCCTTTCAACTCAAACCAAATAAAACTGGAGTCAAAATAACAACAATCTCTCATGTGTTGCAGATACAGTTTACAAAGACATTAAATGTTGCAGTGTACAACCGTTTTAACGAACAATAATTGAAATAGTAGTAAATGTGAGACACTAATCAACGGCTTAGAAGAAAACATTGACGTGCCTTTATGATCAAGAGACACATACATTCACCTCATGATCGTTTCCATAGTTACGGAAGGGTAAACAAATACACAACAAATGATGCAACAAATCCAACCAGCTTTCAAGCATGTATATGGACTAAAACTCCATAAAGTTGTCAGTGGTCAATACTGGTTGTTTCAGGCCAGGCAAGCTTATTTGTATAGCACAATCCATACATAAGTGCTGAACAAAACAAGATAGAAACAGTCACACAAGGCATTAAAATAAATAATTACATGATCACAGTAAGGTTGAGTCCTCCTGTGGACTCACCACCTGCAGAGGGTCAGTGAGGGGCTGGTGCTATGAGACTTGGGTGGCATCTCTGACTGCCACCCCCCTGACCCAGAAATGGATTAAAGGGTAGAAAATGGATGGATGGATGGATGATCACAGTACATTTAAAAGAAAGTTAAAAATATAAAATCCCTAAAGAACAGCTAAAGAACTGTTTATAACCTGGATTTAAAACATTGTCAGAGAAGAGATGACGTAACTATGCAAATGATGTGTACGGCTGGTTAGATGTGTGATTCGTTATTCCTCAGTAACCATTTGAAAGCAGATAAACAGTGCACACACTTGTTCTTTCTTCATCCCGGTGACACATGGGGAGTAGCTGCAAAGTTGAGTATAAGGTCAAAAGCACTGGCCTCTCCCACTCATCTGCTGGCGACACAAAAGGGCAAAGAGAAGAGAGAAAAACGGTGAAAAACAGCCGCACCAAGAAACATTGCGGTCGACTATCGCTTTGAATGAAAAGGAAAAGCACCTCCTCCACCTCCAACAAACCTGGGTGTTGTTCCAGATGTGTATCAGGGGTCCCGGGGTCGACTTCAGGGTCTCTGTAGAGCTTGTGTGTCTATTGGGACATGGTGTTGCTGATAGCTCACGCGGCTGCCACCAACAGTACCTGTACATAAATCAAACGCACCCATATGCACTTATCTCCCGCAAGCAACCAGCTCCGCATCGACCAAGAGCGCATGAGAAGTTTAGGGTTTTTTAACTATTGTTTTGGGAATTCTGAATTTTGTGTGTGATTTGATGGATACGTACAAAATATGGTTGTTTTTACAAAATTCCATTGTGGTGATTGCAAGATTATGAGTTATGGGAATTAATCGGAGTCTGTTCAAAGTTGAGATGATTTTCTCTCGTGCAAGTATTTCACCATTCACGATGCACTTTGCGGCGCCTTTAGTGTTATTATTACGCTTTCTGTAAATATGTTTTTTGTTCAAGCCGTGCTTTTAGGAACTTATAGGAGTACTAAAGGGCATTTGTGGATTGTAGGCTGTGAGTTTGTCTGATAAAGTATTCCTCTAAATTGTCGTCTTGTTCTGCTTGTTTTGCTTTCATAAAAAACATATTGAATAATGTCTACTTATTTGGCTCTATACAAAACATAATATTATTCCCAATGGATCCACAGGTGTGACACTGGTTTGAGCAGCTGTTTTCTATTAGTCCATTCCTGCAACAAATGATAAAAGTTTTAAAAAGTTAGCTTTCAAACTGGTTTAAAACGAGTCCGTAACTATTCATTGCAATTGTAAGTCTAAATCCACCAATTTGCAAAACATTTTTATCAAATATTCTCCAATTTTGCTCCAATGCTGATACTTGAAAGCATGCATACATACACTACTACTTTTGATTTCATAATGGACCAAAAAAAGCTGCATTTAGTGCCTCTGTAGCAGTGTTCCACAACCTTTTTGAGCCTAACCAATTAGGAGATTTCCAAAGGCACACCATACAGCCTCTCAAGGCACACTAACCTGCCACGACCCTATAGAACCAAATGAGACTTTGAACACACGTCAGATCCCGCTGCACAGATCGCCGCACATATGTTTTCGTCTTTTACCCTTGTTCCTCTCCAGATCCTCTCCTATTTTTGCATCGCAGTTGTGAGTACCAATCTGCAGGCCATCAGCGCTCCCAGATTGAGAGGCCATTTGGCTGCTGTTGACAGGAGAGAGAAGCTATCGACAGGGTCCTGCCGCGGGAGGCGTGTCTAAGCCGCCGAGTCCAAAGCGTTTGTGGCGTTTAATACACTGTAGCCGTAGTCGTCACAGCCCTGGCCCTGCGTGCGACTGCCGCCCGGATCAATATGCAGTGGGTTAGAGAGAAATGGACCATCTGATGCACACTCCGGCAGGGGGACGAGGGGGAAACAGGAAACAGCAGGGAAGGAGCCAGACTAAAAGAAGTAGGTTTAGAAGAAAGACATTTAGGAGGGAGTGGAAATTTGAAGATCTTGAGATTTGTCATACTTTGGCACATTTGGCTATAGTTGAAATGTTTTAAGTTAAGTTTTTAATGTTAGTAGCTGAGAAATATGGATATATCCAAAATTGCATTAAACATTTTTTTGCCAATCCTTATTCCTAAAATCAATCAATCAAATATATGTATTTTCAAACTTGCGTACATAATCCAATTTGGATGAAGCAACCTCTCGCACTCATTCAACACAAAACACACATACACAAACAACACACAAAAACACTCTCTGACCCTACACCTTGCCCTGTCACTCCCTCCAGCTGAGGGTATCACACTCTCTCCTCCAAAATCACGTTTGTTTTAAGGATGGAAGAGATTTGGAACTCATGAAGACATATTTACTTTATCAACATTCCACATATTAGATTTGATCATAGATAATTGATAGACAATCGCAGCAGGATCAGAGAATGACATTTGGCAACAGATGTAGTAGATCCATGCACATGTATTGAATAAATCCGGTCATTGTATTAGTGATTAGCTCAAACAAACATTCACAAGTAAATACCCTGATTACTTCAATGCACCATTAGCCTGAGCAGTGCACCTCTTTAGCGCTATCTCCCGCATGTTAACTCTGACAAAGTGACAATAACAGGGTTCAGTCAAGCTGCTGGTATAGTCCAAGTACACTCATGCATGCAGCAATAGTGCTAGTGTTGACCAGCGCTTATAGAGAAAGTGGTCCGCGCCTGAAAGAGACATTCAGCCCGGGAGAGAAAACAGATCGGAGCGAGCCAGGACACTAGAAAAATGGGGAAGACTCCAGACACCAGGGAGGATACACAGAGGAAAGAAAAAAAGACATTCAGGAAGAGAGGAGTGGAAGATAGGAAGAAAGAGGGGGGCCAGAACAGAGAGGGGTGCACCAGGAGGCGATGCGGAGAGGGGGGGTAAAATTTCCATCAGGTTTTCAATTGGGGCGGATCAATAGTGTATTAGAGCTCACCTTGACCCCTTCTCCACACCCCCCCTTCTTCTTCTGCATTGGCCCGGCTTGTACACCGAGCTACTCTCCTTCACAGCGGGGGGACATGCAGTGGGTAGAGATTGCATTACGGTCACTCTTTCTCGCACAAAAGTGGCAGAAAATGGCACAATAAACGCAAACGCTGGGAAGAAAAAGAGGAAAAGAAAGTCAAGTTGAAGCAAAAATAGTAGTAAAAGTGAGATAGGATTTGGCGAAAGTGAGATGGCCGGGATATACTTGTGAAATATGCAATGCAGGGGACTTAACGCGGGAGATGGGGTTTCGATCGATTGTATAGTCGAGAATCGTCACATTGAAAGTTGCTATTTCTTTGCACTTTCTGGATGGATACATTTAGATGTGAGTTTGTACCTTTCAGCTGGGACGTACCTTACGACATTATACTATATGTTACTCTTTTGGTTACATCACCTCACACAAGTGTCATTGAAATAACCCATAGAACAAGTGCAAATTATGTATGCTTTATCAGGCTACATTTGCAAAACTGAAGTAACCCTCCATGCCAATACTTTACCATTGGACCATTGGATACCATTTATTGTGAGTCCATGAGATCCTCTCTCCACAAAGACAGGACACCCTTGTGGGACAGGGCCCATCTGAGGACACGCATGAGGACAGGGCAGGGCGGCCGCTGATGGAAGAGAAGGAGGGAGCGGGTGAATAAAAAAAATTGATCCGTGGAGTTTAGCATTTAGACACAGTTTACAGAGCCATATGAAGTGGAGTCAGGGGAGAGAGGCGGGGGCAGACACTTAACTTTGCAATAGGTCAGCTTTGACTATTTGACTAACTCCAACTCTTTCTGCCAGTCTACAAAATAAATGGCAAGCAGCGTTCTCCACGATCCATCTCCACGTGAGAGTGTGATTTAGCCGTTTAGACAGGAGCTTGTTTGTAAAAGTGCAGACCTACTTGCAGCACCATCCTCATCTCTTCCCCACATTTCCTAACGCTGTTTCTATTGTCACCCATCTACACTCGGCTGCACATGCACGCACACACACACACACACACACACATAGGGAACACTCTCGTACAAAGTCTGTCCCATTCGCTGAGGGGGAGAAAAGAAAGGGAAAAAAGGAGAGAAAAAGAAATCGATCGCCGGGGATAGCGGTGCGCGTCGGAGGATCGTATCTTGTCAAAATAATATATTACCCTCATCCCCGCCTGATCGATGCGGTGGATTAGGGACGGAGGGGCTCCTCTCTCCCCCCGCGGCCCCCACCTCTCGCTCATGCTTGCTGCCTCTGTTCCTCCACGGCGCTTGGTGCAGTTTAATATTTACCTCCGTGAAAGAGCGGCCACGACGGCTCTCAGCCCTAATTGATTCCGACACATGGGGCTCTGTGCTCAGGCTGCGGATGAGAGGAGGGAGGGCAGAGGCGCTCCCAGAGAAATAGGAGCGGGATGGACAGGGGTGGGAGGAGAAGTGAGGAGAGCTCTATACCTTTTGCAAAGCACGGAGCCATAAGGCAACACTTTTTTTGGGTAGAAAATAGTAGTTTAAGTTAATTAGACCCCGTAGAATCCAGACATAAAATAAAGGTAGAAAAAAATATATCTTTACTATTTTTTGGAAAGCATGCATTCAATAACCAAATTTAGCAATCTGCCTGTTTTGAGTATTTGGGTTCTGGGATTCTGTGTTAGTTATTGCATTAAACCAAAAAGTCTTACTTCTTTTGCCATAACCTTTGAACTTATGTGATGTGGTTGATTACCACAACAGGGGTTTTTATGTACCAGTAGTTACAAGAAGTTACCTGTTTTTAATTTGCCATCAATCACTGATAACTGATTTTAGTGTGAAAAATAAATAAAATAATGATTATAACGTTCAAAAATACTAAAAACACAATTTATTTTTTCTCAGTTATGACATTAAGGAAAATATTACAGTACTCTAACAATAAAACTAAAATCTTCACAGAAAACGTTATAGTTTAATATAGTTAAGTTGTCCAACTCCAACTTTCCAGGCTTGATTGCCGTTTGCTGTGTCCTTGAGCAACACATTTTAAATCTGTGATTGTGATCTGAGGTGTCAAATAGTGACTGAATGGATGGAGTAGGACTTTGAATTCACTTATTTTTCCATACATTGTGTTATAGAGTAGTTAAGTTGTCGGAGTGATGCAAAACAGCGCTTTCAATATGATCAAGAGTGACTTCCCAAAACATTCACAAGTTGAAATTGCAGAACATAGTAATATATATTTATACAGTAAATGATCAAACCTAAAAGTCTGCACACCCTTTAAACTTATACCATGGACATTACAACATATTCACATTACATTTCTTGTGCTAATATAATCCTAATCCAGGTCACAACCTCAGTTCATTGGAATCGTAAAAACAGATCTCTCTCTCTCATTGAGTTAAAAGTCTAGCTCTTCGAAGGCTTGTTAACAAAGACAGTGAGGGAAACGCTTTGTGCAGGTCCGGGAGGCTCAGAGGAAATATTGCAGAGGTTAACGGGAACGAGGCTGGAGACAGATGTGAATGTTTGCGGCACAAATGGAGGGACGAATGGAGCGGATAGAGTCCAGAAAATGAATCAGGAAGAATGAGGGGAAGCGGCGAGGAGTAGGTGGAAATGGGCCAGCCCTTATGGAAGAAGCAGGGCTGGGCAGCATGAGAAGGCGGCCCAGCAGAGCAAATGAGAAGGATTAGGAGCGCGACATGAAGATGGATGGAACAAGAGGAGTGAAACATGAAGGCTACAATGCACGGCGCCAATAAAAGGCCAGGAAGAAATAGGGGTATGATGGAAAAGAGAGCCGGTGCGCTGCGGAGGTGACAGGATGATATCAGGTGGGATAGACAAAGCAGCATAGGAGTGATAGCGCAGGAGTGAAGAGAGAGGCCATATTTCCAGCTGAAGGAACTGGCCTGTCAGGCTGTTCCGCCGGCCACGAGCGCCCCCATAAAACACAGCAGCAGGCGGTGCATGAGGTGACTTATGTGTATATCTAGGCTCTGTCAATATTTCTTTCTGTCTCCTCCTTCCACTGTGCAGCCTCCACTGTTGCCTCACATTGCAACTGTGCCATTTTACTGTATGTGTCCAGGGCACTTTGTAATCTCCAAAAAATGAACCAATTTTATCGTGCGATAACTGGAATACTGCATTGGTGATTAGTTGGGTTGGACAATTTTGAAATGCTTATTCAGATGTATTCCTGTAATGGGTGTCATTTGAGTTGTATCATTTATTATACTGTGAAAGTACTTATCTGAAACATTTGATTGATTTGACTTTTCAATTTCAATTCAATTCAATTTATTTTTGTATAGCACTAAATGACAACAGCAGTCATCTCAGAGGAATTTAGGAGGTTGAAGATTCGCCAACAACAGATTAGAGAACAAATCCGTTGAAACACAGGAAATGCAATAATAACAAATGTCATTGGTCCATATGAATGACTGACCTATATTTTTACTGTTTTTATGGGACTCAAAGATACTTTCAGCTTCCTGGTTCATGCTAACCTTGCCTGCAAGCTGAATTCTCGCGGTATTTGTGAGTTCACAAACACTCGAGAATACATCTTGTACCGCTCCCGCTTACACTTTTCGAGTCGAACCACTGGGTGTGCGAGCCAATCACGCGCCAGTCTGGGGGTTTAGGGCGGGATATCCGGGTTTGACGAAAGCAAGAAGTGCCGGGCCGAAGCAAAACAAACATGGCTACGCAGGAGGACGGACGCAAAGTCAGTTTTAGCAGAATCTCCAATTTCTTTTTTGAAAGATGAACAGCGAGAGGCGCTTTGTACATTTCTGGACGGCAACCTTGGTAGGCGGGCACACAGCGTCACTTCGCCCAATCAGCTTCAAGTATTCTGCTGCTTACCCCTCCTTTCCCCGAAAGGATTCTCCGGGAGAAATCCCAGATTGATATCGCGGAGAACGCGTTAGAGTTCTACACAATCATCAATCTGGCTTTTGCCAGGTTAGGTTCATGCAACTTTTTGAGCACTTCTTCCAGTCACAAATATATTATTCTAGAACCCAGGGAAGATTTGACAAAAGACACTGCAATAGTTGTTTTTTAATCTAAAACATATGCAGCTGGCTTCTACTCAAAGTCCCAAAGTCAATCCTACTTTGTACTCTTTTCTATTTCTTATTTGGCTAACTGACTAAGCTCACCATACAGCAAACTGCCTTATAATGTCTTTTATCTGGCTATAACTGAATGCTCCTCCCATCAGTTGTTTAACTCCCGCTCGCTCACACTGAGAGGTGGGAGAGACCCTGGGAGCTCTTGTTTGCAGAGTGGCTTGCGGACAGTTCACTTGGCAGGATCTTGTCCCTGGTGATCTTTTCCATAATCTGACACTGATGGAGCAGCAGGGCAAATATTCCTATTGATGTTCCAATCACAAAGTCTTTCCAAAGGCACCACACTCCTAACGGGCTGGCAGCCACTATGTTTTGCATGTACCACACCTAGAACGGAGCATCTTATTCAAATGCACATGTATGAGGCAGGTGTTGGTTGTTGGTGAAGCGCCCCAGAACCCAAGCACCGGGTGGTAGTGTGATTTATTCATGTGGTCCCTGCGAGCACTGCGCCTTCTCTTCCTCATTTGGCAGCCTCCTCTACCCAACTCAGGCCTGGGGAGAGTGCAAGGCCACGGGGGGCAAGCATCCCGTAGATTCACTGCCCCAGTCATCTACTTCTACTACCGCTGGACACTCTCAAATTAGACCTGCTCTGCAATCAACAACGCAAGTCAAGCTGCAAATACTGACTTACTTTTGGCTATGTTTTGGAGATTAACTTTTTAAAGAGGAGTTGCTCAGCATGATGCCAGAAGTACAAGAAAAATATGAGTAAAATCTTTGAAAAGTAGACAAATTTGTGTTGCTGGGTCAAAAAACAAAATGTATCTTGTAAAAATGATGCTACATTTATGCACATTAATTCATAACAAGCCTTACTAGGTAAAGGTCTGACTTCAAAACTGGTTATAAGGGGTTGAATGAAAATTGAGCCACCTTTTAATTATATAATGTTGGACCAGCATTGATTGTTTTGGTAAACTGACGCTAAATACATTTCTTCAGTCTTTGCCTTGGCATTGGTGAATTCTTTCCTAAATTCCCATGAATGAGTCAGCCTGCAGCCTTCTCTGATTCAGTTTTCAGCCATGACAAAATATTTATGTGTTTGAGGTTATTTTCATATAGTGAGAAACTTGAGGTGCAAAGTTTATAGTAAGTATTTGTTCGTTTAAAGCTGGCCTACATCACCAGCAATCATGTAATTCAAATACAACTATTGTATCTTTAGAATGAGACAAGGTCCTCACAAACCACTCAAACCAGACTGAAACTCACAAAGGGTTTAAGTAATAAGTTGTGTTGAAATGTGATTTGTGACTGATATAGCAACAGAAAGGGAATCTGATGTAAAGACTTCGTTTGTATACGTACTGTCTTTGGTCATAAAGTATCTGGTCACACAAATACGGTAATGGCAGACAACTATAGATGTCTAAATGAATTGCCAATTTCTTTGTCCAGTCTAACCTATAGTGCTCCTCTGCGTCACAATATGTGGACCTCTACCTTGCTGACTGACCCAAAGTAACCGGTGAGATCCTAAACACAAATTTAGAGTGTCATCCAGCCATCTTCAGCTCTACCAATATACAGTATGCATGCTACACCTCTTTGCAAAGCTCTGGACTTCTTGAATACACTCAAGTTGTCATGCCAGCTACTATCATTTCAGCTCACAATTATTATGAACATTTCAGAACAGCCCAAATTCAGTCAAACAAGTTTTACAATCTGGCCCCTGGTCTGGTGAACTGACATGGGGAGCCAGGAGTAGAGTCGCTGCTCCTCCAAGTTGAGAGGTGCCATCTGAAGGCTGTTTTATTATCTGTTATTTAAGATAATAGATAATAAAATAAAAATATTATAATAATATGATCATAAAATAAAACTCTAGAGCTATGATTGCTCTTGATTTGCAGGTATTTACAAATGTGTTTATTGGAAGTGTAGTGGAAAGTCGTTGAGGATTTTCTGACTTACACTACAGTACGTACATCTAAAAACATTGGTAACACAAATCAAACATACCCCCAAAGTTATGTAGCCGTTGCCATGTGGACATACTTACAAAGCTGGCAAAAAGTGATCTGAAAAACCCATTCATAACCCAAAACAGCACATCAAACATCCACCGCAGTGACACCAAAGTCATTATTTTTCACCAAACAAGCTGAAAATTTCCAATCCATCTCTCCCACTTCCTCCGCCTCCGCCTTATTCCTGCTGTTTTCTCTCCCTCCATCTCTGTTCTTTATTTACAGCTCCCTCCGCACTGGTTCGAGGAGCGGTAACAGAAGTGTCACTTGTCATTATTGGTCTAATTCAGTAATCCGTCATCGTGCGCTCACTGTATGCAGCACATTATACGCCGGCACAGCAGGTGTACTCGGCACTGAGGTGGAGATTCGATTTGACACGCGCACACGGGCCAGAGGGAGGGAGTGAGCGCTGAACTGGATGGAACAAACAGGATAGAGAGAGATTGAATTTTGGTGGTTTTTTTGGTCAAAGTTCTGTGTCCACATTTCATGGTGGTATAAGCGTGTTAGTTTCGGTCCGAAATGTAGTTGTCTGTATAGGTCAGTATATCTGATGGATGAGTGCAGTGTCCACAAAACTCTGTTGGTTTGACTCCAAATAAACCGTCAGACACGTAGGAAATGTCTGGCTTTGAATGGTAAAAGTACAAGGAGTATTGGAGTAAAATAGGTCTCAAAAATATGACCTGAATAAGATAAAAAACATGTGAACTATAGCTTTGTGAACTTTCTGTGATTTCTGCTCAAATATTATGACTTCCAAGAATAAGTAAGTAAGTAAGTAAGTACTTAGGTCACCAAAATCACTTTACAATGTTCAGAATTGGCTCAAAGGCTCATGTGCCATTCAAATAAATATATATATATCCCAATTTGAATATTGTATATACATAAACTATATTCATCAATACTGGTTCAAAGCGTTTGAAACAGAAATGTATTTGTGATAACTTTTTTGCGGTCTCTTCTTGAATTCAAATCAAATAGTATTTTTTATAGTTTTTTTCACTTTTACAAAACCGATTTTTCCCTGAACCACGACTGCAAATATATTGAGTCAACTGCGGACGTAAACATACTGGATTGATTGACAAGCCGCTGCTCAGACAAAACAAGAATCCAAAAGGGAAGAAGAATCCTTTCAAAGTTTTAACATGATCTTTATTGAGACTCTAAGAAAACGTCTTCAAACGTCAGTCATTTTTCTTATGTTTAATTATTTATAGTCAAACATATTAATATCAGCTTCAATCAACTTTATCTAAAGAAAGAAACCAAACAAACTACACTGGCTTGACCTGATAAAATCCGGTGTCAAAAAGGAGACTTATGGCAGCAATTTTACACACAATTATTATTATTTTCAGTTCTTTCGGGGGTTTTTTAGACAGAGTACACAATGAGAGACATTTTGAACATAACCAAAAACCCGAAACAGAAATACACAAGCCCAAATGGATTAAGATTAAGATTAAGAGTTCCTTTTTTTGACACACATTGGGAACATTTCAGAATGTCTTCACCAGTTACAGAGCAGTTGGAATGAGTAGCACAAGATAAATGAACATTAACTCTATACTGGGTGCGACAGTAGCTCAGTTGGTGGAAGGTTGTGAGTTCGAGCCCACCAACAGACCTATATACTTCACGACTCCCACTGATGTCTGCTATCATTGTGTCCTTGGGCAAGACACTTGACCCCACTTTGCCTGAATCTCCCGCTGAAAGATCAAGGCTCTTGTGGACTCAGCACCTGCAGGAGGATCAGTGCAGCTCTGACTGCCTCCCCCCGGCCCAGAAATTGAATAAAGGGAACAAAATGGATGGATAACTCTATACTATATTTAAAAAAAAATCTAATTCTAGCATTAGAAGAAGAAACAAGTATAAAATCTCTATCATTGGCATAATGAGTAGTCAAATCTCTGACTTTAGCATAATAAACAAGTATAAAATGTCATTGACAGAGGTTGCCGTGACCTTAAAAACCTGATCCCTTGACTATCTCGTCTAAACATTGAAGTCACAGTCCACACAGGTGAAAAAGTGTGGTTTGATGGCACTGTAGGAGCATGGCACTCTGGGAAAAAGAGTCCCCCCACCCACCCGCACCCAGCCCTCTCCTCCATGCAGCGTGAGAGACACCGGGCTTTAAGGTTTGTGACAGTGAAGTTCCTTTCTCTCTTCATCAGTGGCAATTTGTATGTGAGCGCGCACCCCAGTGGTCCCAGTGCGCACGGGCTGGATTTCATCACGTTCTTAACCCCACCAGGCTCCAAATCCGCTTAGCTCCGTAAGTGTTTTAAACTGTTCCAACAACCTGGCGTGCTCCTTGTGAGTTCCAGACCTCCACACTAACTGCGTTCACTCACTTATTTGTGCTTCATATAACACCTGTCATTTCCAGCGCTTATCGAGCTGCTGCGGCTGCTCTCCGAGGAGATCCACCGCTATTGGGTTGTGACCGCTTCCAAGTTCTTTCACCACTGTCTTTATCTGATTATTTCCACGATTCCTTTTTTCATTAAGAGTAAGTTAGCAACATAGACAATGATTTTATCTGATTAAAGTATCCACCAACTTTTCATCTTTTTTTGTTTGGAAGTTTGGAAGTGGAGTTTCCTTGATTGGCCGGTATTACTTTGAGAGCTGTAGGCTTTTTCTATTGGCTTTTCATTATAGGCTCCAAAGTAACAGTATTGCTCTGTGATAATAATGATAATAATAATAATGAATCTTTATTTGTACTCTTGGACTATTTATTAGTGCTCTTGAATCTAGGTCAGCAAAATGTTTCTTACTCATGTTTTCTTCTGTTTTGTTATCATCATATCTCTCTCAAAATTCATACAGTGCAGGGCTGCACCTTTTGTCTGTTTCCCTTCAAATGTATCACATATTTTGGTTGGAAATGGAAGACGCAATACATATCAAACTTGGTCAAATGTTAAGATGAAGTTTAGATTAGAAGATCCTTTATTTGTCGCACAGTGGGGAAATTTCAGTGTTGCATCACAAGTTACAGTAGGAATGAAAAGCACACAACACAAGATAAGCATATTCCATACTCTAAAAATAAATCAAAGTAAAATCACTTTCTTTAGCCTAATAATGAAAGTGTGTGCATTAACCCTTAAGGTCCTGTGTGCATAATCAGTCTTTTTTTCTAGAGATATGTGAGAAAACGCTTTCCCATGTAAAACCATCCCTCACGCTCCAGATAGATCGACTGTTGCAGTGCGCAGAAGGTGCATGCCTTATCGTTTCCTGGTGCATAATAAATGCATTCCTAAAACGCGCGGTGCATGTGTTTCCCGCTGAGCTTCTCCACGCACATTTACCTTTTATTATCGATCCATGGGAGCAATATTGCGCATAAACATATGGATTTGTGAAAACGCACTCCTGCTGTATAATAAGCGCTGTGCTTTAGGCCAGGCATTGATTATCAGTTATCAATCTAGTAGCAATGATCACCACCGAGCCCAACTTAACCCATATTTGATATTATATTCCAGGACGTTATTACTGTATACGCAATGCTCTATATACTGCTGTTAGAAATGGCGGCTGCATGTGCAAGAAGTCAGAGATGGAGTCGGTGTGACAGAGAAGATGTTCTGCGTCAAGTGAAGTTTTCCAAAGTGGCACCGCGGAGGAAAGAGGGAAGGAAGGACTGAAAGAAGGAAAGTGTTTGAATTACGGTCCTGTATATGCTCGGCTGGACACGAGACAGAACGCGCGGACCGTGATGGTGAAATGTTGAAGGAAAAAGATGAGAGGTGAGCCCCAAGGTGCGCGGAGGAGTCGGTCGGGAGGGGGCTGATGATGAATGGACAGAGCTCTGCGGCATGAAAGACTGACGCCGCTGCCGAGGCCCGGTCCCGCTGCTCTGGGAATGATGAAACGTTAATTAAAGTAAACGAGAGACCTGCGCCCCGCTCCTCACCCCGCTGTCACACACTGTCAGGGAGGTGGATTTGAGTGCACAAAACTGGGGTAATCCCTGGGAGTTTTTTTTTTTTTTTGACTTGATGGCTGCTGACTTTGTTTTACGCACGGCACCTGTTCACGTTGTACTTCAAATAACTTTTCCTTATTGACTTTCGGTGTGTTTTTTTAAAGGTGATTTCTTTTGTCAATCACGCAGCTATTCAATTCCATACACCCCGCATCTATAGATTTTGTCTTTATTGGGCATATTTGCTTCAGGTTTTGGGTGTCTCTGTCATCTGCCATTTCAATAACATCTAGTCCTATAGTGAAATGAAAAAAAATGAAAAATTCAAACAAACCATAGCTGCTCTCTAAAATATATAGGCCTAATTCATGCATATTATAGACAATTTTAACCAACCAGTTGCATGTTAAAAAGTTAAAATATCTTGTTTGTAAAATAATTAGTAGCAAAATGTCAAAGCAAAAAAGGTTACAACTAACGTAGATAGTTCTGACATGTTAAGACATTGTGGAGATAAACAGTTTAAACGCGCGTAACGCATCCTTCCTCCTCCGCGTTATTTGAGTTTTTGCAAGGTTTATTAGCCAAGATCACCTTTGCTTCTTTTGTTAATGCTCATATTCATTCAATTAATCTGAGCTCTAATTCGCTTCTTTTTTTTTCAACTCGGTCTCGCTATCACTCTGCGCTTTTTCATCTCTCTCCAACGATTATCCCAGAGTCTAATTAGAAATCGATGGCGCTGGGCCGGCGGGTATTTGCAATGTGTTTGTGGACGTTGAGAACAATTCCCCGGACAGAAAGACTGGGAGAAGAAAGAGAGAGGAAGAGGAAACGCTACAGTAACGCCGCACTGAACTCTGCACACCCACAAACGCGCACACAGCCATGGCTTGGGCGCTCGCAGCTATTCTTCTTTACTAAAAAGCTGTTGGGGTAAAAAAAAAAAAAAAAAAAAAAAAGAGAGAACAGCAGCGCATGTAAAAGGAGAAATGAAAGGAAAATCAGTTTTAACGACGGACACGAGGGAATGCAGTGGAATAGCTGAGGAGTGTTTTCCCCTCTTTTAGGAAAACAAATAAACAGAGCAACAACGCTTTACATGGCCTTCAACTCACCACTGACCCATATTTGTATTGCTATGATTATTATGATTATACATATTATAATTATGGATATTGGATTATTATTATTATTGACTTGTTTTAGACCTATTTCCATTGTGTCATTAGGCCCTGTATACACGCAGGACGCATTGGATGTTCTGATTTAGGCCTATTGCATATTCAATACTAGTTCTTATGCTTATTTGTGTTTCAACTTTTCGGATTTGTCTGACAGCAAACATTTGAGAAGCAGCTTTTTAATCTGTTTTCTCCGTGCGTCCTGTGCGTAAAACTTCCATCATCTCCTTCCACTTTTTCCCGATTATGAGCCAAATTGCATCAAACCTTTTTTTCCCCCTTCCTCCTGCTGTTTTCTCCCACCTATATCCTGTCCGATACTGTTTCTTAATCTCAGCTACCGATCCGGACACACTCTCGCGCACTTGCAGCGAGCGCCATGCAGAAAAGTTGGTCTCGAAGCGACGTTTTAACGCCATTTACCGGAGCCAATCGAAGCTAACCGGATCACGGGTTGCCACATGATAAAACAAAGTGTTCCAAGTGGGGGGAGAGAAGAAAGCGCGGGAATGAGAGACTTTTATTAGTTCAGCCTTTACACTGTGCCGTGTTTACCGTCTGCGCTGTGCGTTTTATTGGCTCGCGCGTAATCACTTTTACAGACGCACTTGTCTTTGCGCGCGGTGTTCATCATCCCCAAAGACATGCACGCGCGCTTCCCGTGACCTCACCCTTCTCCCGCTACACCCACCCCCGTCGAAGAAGTGCATGACTCTCCCTCCCGTCAGGAAGTGTCATATCGGGAAATGTAGTTCTGGACTGTCACCCCCCTCCCGCTTGATGAGTAAAAGTGAATCTCTCGCCTCTTCTCCGTGTTGCTTCAAATTTCGTCAACCCCTGTGATGCTTTACTTGTGCCAGAGCCGTCTGTGAGTCCCAGTGAGCGTGTGTGTGTGTGTGTGTGTGTGTGTGTGTGTGTGTGTGTGTGTGTGTGTGTGTGTGTGTGGAGTACTCTGTGTAAATGTGTATAGTATTTGAGACCTCGTTTTTTCTGTCAAGTCTGTCTCTCCTCTTTCTCGCGCGCTCATTAAACGTCCCTCGCAAACAAACACACACACGCGCACACACACACTCACACGCACAGACATGCACACTCGCGGATTCTCTCCCATGTCTCCCTCTCCTCCTTCTCATTCTTCTTCCTCCGCGCCTCACGCTCCCCTTGCCCGTGGCTATATGATCGTGAAAAATGTGTTTACAAAACTCGCTCTCTCGCAGATCAAACCGTACGGACGAATCAAAGACTTTGCAGAGAGGAGAGAGAGAGCCAGAGACGGAGAAGAAGTGTGTGAAAGAAACCGAGCCGCGCTGCTTGTGCATGGAGAGGCCTGTTCATTTTAAAATTCTCTGTGTGTTATTCTGCTCCTTCTGAACGTATGTGTGTGTGTTTGGATTTCTGCCTGCATGTCCTTTGGTAATACAATATCTTTAAGGCCCCCAAAACAACTATCTGCGTCTCACAGTTAAACATGGGATAATGCAATATTGATGTCTCCTTGTCTTTGCCATAACGCAATCCTGGACCCATTTTGGCTGGACAAGGCAGCATGAGCCAATGGTGCTTTCCACTTAAAAGAATTACTGCGACCCTGTAATACATTTTGCAGAGATGCTACATAAATACCCAGTCTCCAGAGGAATAAAGTAGAATAGTTAAACTGTAGGAGATGACTGATGTGCAGCCTACCGTTCTCGAAGTTCAGATGTCTTTCATTGACGAGCTGCTTTTTTTACTTTGACCAATGCGAAATGTTATATATTTTTTTTATCTCATATCAGATGAAACGCGTGTCCACCAATGATCGAGCATGCTTGATACATATACGTTATGACGCATTACCTATTTACAGAGGCGTCCCTTGCCATTAGGCAAGGCAGGCAGCTGCCTGGGGCCCCAAAACCGGTAGGGGGCCCCCGAGGGCCGACTGATTTGACACAAGCGGTTGACTTGTACAGGCTACAACAGCTACCTGCAGTGACAAGTCTGATAAAAACTTGTCATTTTGCCACGTTCTTCATTAACAGTTAAGAAGCCTGCCTGGCTGTGATCATGTGTTGGATGTAATGGTGGTCTAGTGGTTAAGTTGCAGCGCATGCGCCGTGATGACTTGGGTTCAAAACCGAGTGTGATGTCTGTTTTGGATTAAACTATATTTATTATACTCTATGACAGATTGCTCAAAAACGGTAAGAGGTAAAAACAAGCCGATTTTTACAGATTAAAGCTATAGAGCCTAATCTTTCATTTGGATCTTGGTGTTTATGTTTATACCTACTGTAATATATTTATTTTTATTGAGAGATATACTTCTTTAGGTAAAGGGAAAGTTGTCCTCTGCATTTGACCCATCCTTCATTTCCTCTCATCCGCCTCTTGTCAGTGGTCGCATAGCACCGGGGACCCATCAGATGTTGATCCTCCATGGCCAAGATGCTGGACGATTTTACCTATATTGTACATGTTTTTAGAGCACCAGGAGGGAACGTGCAAACGCCACTCAGAAAAGCCCTGCTCTGACCGGGATTCGAACCCATTCTTACTGAGAAGTTACCGTGTCAATTGCGAGGCAGTGTCAAAATAACTCCCGTCATTGTTTGAGATTTGTGTTGTGCTTTTATCCACGGGCACATTATGACCCTTGTGTTCTTGTTCATCACCGTTCCCCCGAGGCCACTTTACAATAGGCATCCATTTAAACATGTAGCCTAATTGAGTACAAGCATTTGATTTTTTTGAGAGACTGCACAGATGACACAGAACCGTGGAGTGTCAAGAGCCGGTGCGAGGGCAGGGAGGGGGGCGACAGACAGTCCGGGGGAGCGATTATAGCAGGGTTTATGTATGAGCTATTGATTGAGTCGGTGGTGACTTCTTGAGTGGTTAATTCGGGAAGTGAGAGCGATAGAGAGAGTAACTCCCTGACCAGAGGGAGGGGTGCAGGACTAAAGAGGGGGATCGAGTGTCATGGGGATGTGTGCAGACAGAGGCAAGTGCATTTCCCTCTGCTCTAAATTGATAGAAAATAGGTTCAGATGATATTGCATTCAAAAATACAACACGTTGAAATAATCTGGGTCAACAACATGCTGCGTGTTTGTGTTAACTGCGCGGCGCTGTGTAGATATGACGCGCTAAATGCCGACAATTTTGGTGAGACCAGACTGGACAGGTTTCCCTTGTGGACTTGGAAAATGGATCAGGGGATAACATGAGAATAAGTCAAGAGTTTGAGCGTTATAGGCCTGTGATTGTTATTATTTCAAACTGAATAATTGTGCATAAGTTTCATCACTGTGAATATTTGAACAACAATGGGTTATTTCAATATTCTTGCACTAGACAGTATATTACAGATTATTTGTGTATACAAGTATATATTCATTTGCACTAGAATACAGGGTTGTATGATTTCATACTTTTTTAGACTTTGTTTCTTTATTAAGCCAAAGATATAGATGTTTAATAATACTACTTTTTTTTAATTCTACACCTTACCTAATGTTAAACCCTGCCATAAAAGAGTTATTATAGAGAATTATATGTCACGTGCTGAGAAGGATGAGGACTCAAAAAGCAGGAATGCCAAAAAATAATTATTTAATGATAACAAAATAAAAGTCCAGGAATCCAAAAGGCACAAGCAGCAACGAAACAGGAACAGACATGACAAGAGAGGACGGAGGTTGACAATACAATGGACCAGCAACAAGAGGAGAGGAGCACAGGGTAATTATAGACAGACACAGGTGAAACACATTAGGGCGGGGCAGACAATCAAGACAGGGGAAACAGGGCGTCAAAGTCAAACTAAAACCAAAGCACAGAGAACAGAATATCAAAATAAAACTAAAGTCCAAAATAACAAAATTCACACCGTGACATTATATTGACCAATCTTGTTGTGTGCTCCTCGTTCTGTTCTGTAACCTGTGATGCAACACTGACATTTCCCCACTGCACGACGAATAAAGTACCCCTCCATCGTCATCTCAATGCTGTAATGTAGTGCAGTATCAAATATGCGTAATTTGGAGCTCTCCCTTCGGACACTCATTTAGCCAGGTATACCTTCCTCCCAATTTAACTTGAACTTGAGAGTGCATTTGGAATCCGGGCCTAAGCACCTCTGCTCGCAGGATATCCTGTAGTCAAATAGCTAAAAGCTGCCCGCTGTGCGCGCGTGTCGGCCCTAATGACTGTTTGCGTGCGTACGTATGCGTGAGTGCGTGAGTGAAGGTCAGCTCGCCGGCGCAGTTTCTTTTCCTATTCCTCTTCCCTCTCGCGCAGGGTTTGATCTCTCAGCCGCGAGATCAAAGGCGCTCTCTGGCTATTAGTCAGCGCGAGCCATTGATCCCCCATCGATCCACGCGAGACACAGCCGCCCCGTGAACAGCGCGCCAGGCTGGGCTCCCAAAGCTCCTCCCGCGCCTCGCACCGGGAGAGGCACAGCAGCGGAGAGGGAGGTGTGAGGGAGGTGTGTGCGCCTGGTTCCTCCACTGCGCGGGTATAGAGCCAAACTCAAGCTCTTTCTTTGCCGCGGGTCATGAAACAATGAGGCTCGAGCCGGTTTTAATAAAGCGCGCTTTCCCTCCTTTCAACTCTGGCGCGAGGCGGACAAGCCGGCAGCGGAGAACGATCGATAATTAATGACGATGAATAATTTAACCTTATCGATTGATACTTTTTCTTCATCCTTTTCCCCTTCTTTTCCTTATTTTCTTACGACAGTCCATATCATTCTAATAGCCTTGCTTTAGTTTCCCCATTCAGCTCAGCTCTGTAGCCTAAACTTGTTGGATTGCATCTTTCATCAAAGTCTGGCTGTTTCCTTATCTCCTCTCATGTTTCTGCGTCCTGCGCTTTATGCACATCGTGAGGCTTCAATCATAAGCAAATATAAACTCTGATAATAATAAAAACACATCCTTTCACTTTGCACACGTCTTAAAGCACTCAAGTGATCTATAAATAAATTGTTATTAGTGAAACATCACACTTTGATTATAACATCAGACCATTAACATCTGGAGATGGATTAAGGAATTAAAGTTATTTTCAGAAAAAGAGTTGCAATGAATCTCAACCATTATTGAGATATTGTCAATTGTGGCATACATTCTGGGCTTCAAAACAAACTCTATACTGTTTCTGATTAAAACGACATCCTCAGGGTTCGACGCCAAAATAATCAGAAAATGGATCCTGTTGGTGCCTGCTCTTGTTGACCTTTGTGCACCAGCTGCCCCCCTATTTAGTGATCCAGTGTTGAGCAGGCACCACTTCTAAATTAAATCTAACAGTGAGCCCTATAACCAAATACTGGGAAGAAATCTGGACTCATCAGAACATTCCACAAAAAAATTATAGCAAATTTTAACAGCTTTTTTGCAGTTTGATTTGATAAAGTTGCACACATAAATGATTATTTAACTCAATATTAAACAACATTTATGGACATCGGTCACCTGTCCCTTATGGACCAATGGCTCTATGTGTTTTTATCATTGCTTTTCTTGTGTTTGAACTGTTGATTCTTTGTTGGCGATTTCAACAGTTTTTTTTTTTAGTCCTCTGAGATGTGGTTAAGGACTATACAACAAAATATTGAATTGAATGGAATTGAATTCAACACATTAAACAATTAGCATATTTCCCAGTTCCTACAAATCTGAGTAATTTTTATTTTCTCACAATAATCATCATTTGAACC